CTGATCCTTTATATATCATAACAAACCTACACAGACCTTCATCTCTTGCTTAGGCTTTCTCATTTTTTCTATTTTGGAAAATATCTCCACTCTGATATCCTTTTAACATCTTACATTCTCATTTTCTTTTTTAAAAAAATAATTATGAGACATAATAGCATTAACAAATAAATTTTCCTTCTGTTGTGAGACTTCTTTTCCTGGAGATGCTAAGCAATGCTTATTCCTTTTTAAGGTTCTAGTGTTGAGCCAATGTTTGATTAAAGTATTGCTGGAGAACCAATGAATTTATTGAGCTTACTTACAGAGATAACTGAGGGGTTGCTGAGGTGTATGCATGACCTGAGTGTATGCACACTGGAAAGCCTTTACCCAGCATGGGTCATGCCTTCTCTTCCTAGCCTTATACAGATTGTATACTTTAGCCCTCCCCAAATCCAGGAGGCCATGTGTGATTAGGGTCAAATTACATACAGTTGGCTGGGAAGAGTGCCTGGATACTCCAGTAAGGGTCCAGCGGCACTTCTTGGCCCTCCTTTAATGAATGAGCACAACCATCAAGCCCAATTGTGAAGATGTTTAGTCATCAGGCTCAGCTGAAGTTGTGGTGATGGTAGTTATTTCATGCAGAAGGAACTGCCGGGTAGCATCATCTTATTAAAAGGACCTGGAATTTAAAAGGATTTGGTGCTAGGACCCACATATGAGGGAGAACATACATCATTTGTTTTTCTGAGGCTGTGTCACTTCACTTAGTATTAATTTCTAGATCCATCCATTTACCTGCAAGTTTCATTATTTCATCTTCCTTTACTACACGCATGCCCATTTGTTTATACATTGTCTGTGGCTGCTTTCAGGTTTTGGTGGCTAAGCTGAACAGAGACTATATATGTGGCAGAGCCTAAAGATATACTATCTGATAGATTGCAGCAGAAGTTTGCCAATCTCTTGGAACTTTTGTTTTGAAAACAAGACTTTGGGCTGAGAAAACTGTAAAGGAGATGCACAATGTGCTTTATTTCCGGAACGTTATTTCTAGAATGTTCCTTCAAGTAGCAAGTTGATCATAATGTACCTAGAGGAGGAGGACTGGCGGTATACACCGAGCTTCTACTTGTGCCTCTGTCATCTCCACCTCAGGGTGGTGACAGGATTCACAGTCCTTCTCTTACTACATGCGTAATCCACAACTTGCAATTCCATTTTTAAAAGCCTTTTCTGCCTTATCTCATCCACACAGGAAAGCATATAGATCATAAGTATACATCTCCACTAGCTTTCAGAACTGGGACTTAGAGAAGTGCCTTCTTGCTGCTGACACACTGCTCACAGCATATCTGGGAGTAGCAACACTACCTGAAAAAGAATCTGGTTACCAGGGACAGTTTTAAAAACTTACTAAATATTTTTATTGAATTTTAATTATGCATACAGAAGAGCACACAAACCATGATTATACAGCTTAGCACATATTCGTAAAATGAATGCACCTATGTAACCAGCACCTAGGTCATGAAAGAACACTGTGAGCACCACCGAGCCCCTTCTTTTCTTTCCTAGGGCCAAAGAAGCCAAGTAAAAAGTAACACATACAGTATTTTTCCACTTACATAAAGGTTAAAACCAAACAAACCTAACTGATGGTGAATTAAGTTGTGATAGCACTTATTTTGGGGAAGGGGAAGTGGCTGAAAGAGGGTGATGTCTGACAATATACATGAACTTGGCCTGATTTGAATCTCATCTGAATGGAATCTGTATGCACTTGTGTCCTGTGATGGCTACTGTTACTTTTATGTGAATTGTGGTTGATTGCTATTTTACTAGGTTTTTTTATGGTTTGGTTTTTCAACAAATTCCTCTGGGCTTTTAAAGTATATAATCATATCTGCAAACAGCTTTACTTTTTTCTGATTCATATCGTTCCTCTAACTTCCTTGGTTAAAATTTCCAACATAGTATTAAGTAGTAGAGGAGACAGTAAGAAGAGCCTCATTCTGACTGTTGTTGGAAAGGCTCTTTGGTTTCAACATTAAGATGCTTGCATCTAGGTACAATGTTAATAAATTATTTATTAGCTTCTAATTATTTAGCGTGATGCTTTTTAAAAATGTTTAATTCTATCATATGCCTTTTCTTTAACAATTAATATATTAAGATCATCTAAAATTGAATCACCCTTGCATTCCTACAATAAACTCAACTGAGTCATTATTTATTGCCTCTTCCAAATGCTACTAGATTGTTTGCTATCAAATCATTAAATCTTTTGTATTGATATTCGTGTATGTGTGTGTTAGTATCTGCATGTGTGTGGAAGCCTGAGGTCAACCTCAGGTGTCATTCTTCAGGAGCTGTCCACAAAAATTATTATTATTAGGGCTGGGCAGAGTGGTGTACATCTTCAATCCCAGTATTCAGGAAGCAGAGGCAGGTGGAGCTCTGTGAGTTTGAGGCCAGCCAGGGCCGAACACACGCACATGCATGCATATGTCTATGAGTGGGCATTTTACATGGGTGCTGAGGATCAAACTTTACTGACGAAACCATCTCCTTAGCCTGTGTTGATATTTTTTCTTTTACTTTTTGGTATTTTTGAGACAGGTCTCCCTGTAGCCCTAGCTGGCCCGGAACTCACTCTGTAGGCCAGGCTGGCCTCGATCTCACAGAGATCCATCTGCCTTTGCCTCCTGAGTACTGAGATTAAAGGCATGCAACACCATGTCACCAGGGACAATGTTTAAGCATTCTTGAAAATAATGAGAATAATAAACTAAACCCAGTGTCAAAAAGAATTCGTATTTTGCCATTCGTGTTTCATCCCCACTTCCCTCCCTCCCTCCTTCCCTCCCCCCTTCTCCTGTGTGTCCAGATGGATGTATAGATAGATGTAGCCATAGATATGATTATCTATGTGCTATCAATTAGCTGTCCAGTTGTATAAATCTAGTGTGCTTTCTCCTTTGTAAAGCAAGTATAGTGATAGGATATATCTACTTCATCACAGAGTTGTTGAGGCTTAATGAACTGATGTGACTAAAGCTGTCTTAAGAGCAAGTAGTACGTGTTCAGAGAATGCCAACACCCCCATCTTCGTTAGCAAGTACAGGAACTCTTTAGCAATGTTCTCACTGGCTGGTTTCTCTCTCTAGGTCTATGCTGTGGTGGTAATTGCGTCTGTGGTGGGATTTTGTCTTCTGGTAATGCTGCTTCTGCTTAAACTGGCAAGACATTCCAAGTTTGGCATGAAAGGTAAGAAGAGTTGTGTTTATTTTGCTTCTTAAATGGAATCATTTTTGGCTTATGACTAAGGCTAATTATCACTAAAGAAGGAAGTGGCTGGATTTGTGATGACTGGGTTTTAAAGCTGGAAAATAGCAACAAGTACTGCTAATCGGGACAGAGCAAACTGATGCCGGTTACTCAACACTGCCCACTTTCCCATGAGGACAGTTTTCCCAGGAGACTCGGACTGCTTCCTTGAGGATGCAGTGATTCAATGGCACAGGAGTGTACATGCTGCTGGGTGCTCCTGCTGTGGTCAAGGAAGCAGGTGAGGTACAGGCACAGGATGATGGCGTGGCCAAGGCCTGTGTGCATGAAGGTCCTTCTGCTGGATATCCGGGTTCTGAATCCAGTCACCTGCTTTGGTTTTGCTGTTGCTTTTGCATATTCTCATTTTTGGAACTTAAACGACATGTTGGAAGCAAAATAGGAATAGCCCCTGTGGCACACGGAGATGCTGCATAAATGGATTTTTATTTAAGTGGTAAAGTTCTCAGGCTTGAGAATTAGGGTCCATATTGCCAAGAACACACAACTGATTTTTCAGAGGCTAGGAAATTATGTCTTTGGGGGTGGGAAAACTGAATAAATGTTTTTATATAAAGTGAGGTGTTTCAATGACTTAAAAGCATTTGCCGTGAAGTTTTAGCTTATGTGCTGGCTATTTATGCAATGGTTCTGTTTTGTGTGGTCTCTAGCAGGTTAGATACTGTGTCAACATGGGAAGGCTGTAAAGAAGGCTTGATAGAGCCTTGTGTTGAAGATCACGTCTGTGGCATTTCTTTATCTATGCGATCTATTCGAATGGCCATAACTGTTGCTTCTTTACTTGCAAAGTTTAAGTAGGAGTGATGTGTCCCGCATACATGGGCCCTGGGATAGATCATTTGTTTCTGATAGATCATATGTTCTTGGTGTGTCCATGATGGAGATTCTAAAATCAGAAATGAGTGAAGAAGAGTTGTACTTAATTGAGGCATAAAACAAAAGGCAATGAAACCTCAGGACCTGACCTCAGCTGACCCTTGATGCTTCCTCAGTATGAGAAAAGCTATTTTATTCTTTAGTAATCAGTAATGCTAGAGAGAGGGTGTGTGCTGAAGTGACTAGATTTCTCATTTAAGTTGGTTCCTAACCTAACTGGGTGCCAGAATCTCCTGTAGAACTTGTGGAAACAGGGATTGCAGGACTCCCCCAGGCTCCTGATTCCATAGGTCTGTGTGGAGCTGAGGGATTGCAGGGCTCCCGCAGGCTCGTGATTCCATAGATCTGCATGGAGCTGAGAAATGGCATTTTAACAGTTGCCAGGAATGCTCATACCTCCATTGCTTGAGCCCTGAGAATCACTAATTCCATGTCATGATATGGGCTTTTCTCTCTCTCTCTCTCTCTCTCTCTCTCTCTCTCTCTCTCTCTCTCTCTCTTCTCTTCTCCTCTCTCAGTGTGACAGTGTGGATTTCCATGCAAGCCCAGGTCATTCACTTCTCCCCAGACCTTTTGGGGTCCTGTTGCCCAGTCTGGATGAGGCAGCCACACTCCACATGGCAGCCGTCAGCCAGGGCCTTTAGCATTTCTCACTTTTACCAGGTGCTTTCTTTCCTTGGAGGCCACTTGGATCCCAAGCACAACTTTTATTGGAGAGGAGCAGATTCTGGCAGCACAGAATTTCCTTTCTTCATGGGTTTGGCTTGGGATCTTTCATCTATGGAATCTTTTGAGAAAGGGCACATCCAGGCCCTTCTGGGAGCTCATAAGTGTTGGAAATCCTTGGACCAGAATCTAGGAGGCCTGTCCCATGTTGTCCGGGAATAATACACTGAGAGAATTACCTGTCAGTGTCAACATATTTTTCTCTGTGGTACAGCAAAGGAAGAGGAAAAAATAAGGTAGATGTTTGTTCCAAGAAGGTTGTAGGTCATACTGAGACCTCAGAACCGAAACTGTTTCAAATGATTAATTTGGATGATTGCCACCAAACACCTGCATTTTCTGAGCATAACTTGAGGGTATCCTTAATAAATTGAAAGGAAGCTTACCTAACCTTGACCCAGAGCAGTTAAGAGCTTCGTTAGGCAGTAACTTTCTCTCTCTCTCTCTCTCTCTCTCTCTCTCTCTCTCTCTCTCTCTCTTTCTCCCTCCCTCCCTCCCTCCCTCCCTCCCTCTCTCCTCCCTTACGCCTAAACATAAATAAAAGTATGCCTACAATGTTGTCTCAGAGATTCATGTTCTTTTTTGGACTAGCTGAGTTTTTAACATTTTAATTTTCAGCTGTGGCTCAGTCTGAGGTATTCTATGCACAAAGTGACCCTGAACTGAGGTTATTATGTTACAAGTCAGATGCTGAGCTGATCATCTTTGGGGATCTGGAAGTTAAGATGCGGCTCATGCAGCCAGTGCAAACAAAAGTGCACAAAAAGTGGTGTTTAAAAATTAATGGGTGTTAATGTACTTCAAATGCTATTAGGGAGAGGAGTATACTAAAAACATACATCCTAAAAAGGGAAGAAAATGTAAGCATTATACTTCTTGAAATAAGGACACAATGTGTCAGCCATGATTTCTGAGCAGGACTAGAAGACATTGTGCATAGTCTTAGCCAGATCTGTGGACTCAGAGAGTGACCATTGACTAGTGTGTAGGTGAGATATTCCAAACATAATTCTTACCTTTTGGTGGGATTCTAACCCAATTACCTTCCCTTGCCCTGAGAACAGATCAAGACAGAGGACTCCAAAGATCTCCTACCCCCCGAGCTATGTTGCTTCTCTAGATGATGCCACACTGGGGACCATTCTTCTATATGAGCTTTTTGGGGAGCAAAGCACATCCAGACCATAGTACCAGTTCTGCATGGCTCATCTTGTGTGTCAACTATTTCAATACGTACAAGCCTCTGAATTACAGACTACAGTTCAATACTGTTGATTTGAAGAGCCTAGAGTAACACAAACCAGAAACCTCTTAAGAGCATGCTGTAGGGGTCTAGAGATGGCTCAGTGGTTAAGGGCAGTGGCTGCTCTGGGAGAGGACTGGGATTTGGTTCCCAGCAGTGACACTACAGTTAACAACCATCTGTATTCCAGCTCCAGTGCATCTGATGCCCTCTTCTGGCTTCAGTGGGCATTGCATGCATGTGGTGCCCTTACATACAATGCAGGGAAAACACTAACACACATAAAAATAAAAATAAATAAGTTTTTAATGTATATTTTATTGAGTTTTGTGCATTTCATATAATAGATCTTAATCAAATTAAAAACTTCTCCCCCATCTGCACCCTCTCATAATAACCCCCACCAGATTTCATGCATTCTGTCATATATATTAAGGTCTATCTGGTCAAGTATTTGTATTCAGATGTCCCTTGATGCAAATTCATCCACTGGAGTTTAGTCAGTCAATCTAGAATCACTCTCTTAAAGAAGATGAACTCTCCTTCATCCAGCAGTAATCAATTACCAATAGTTCCTTGACTACGGTTGGGGCCTGCTGCCCATTTCTCCAGTTCTATCCTGGGTTTCTGTCTGACTGAGTCTGCATGGGTATTGTGCATGCTGTCACCATTGCTGCGAGTTCAATATGAGCAAGGTCCCAGAAGCCTGGAAGAGTCTGTTTCCTTATGTGCATGCTCCAATCCCGGCTCTTATAATCTTTCTGGCCCCTCTTCCACAATGGTCCCTGAGCCATGGGTGGGTGAGTTTTAATATAGGAGTCCTATCCAGGGACACACACTCTTCAGTCTCTTATTCTCTAAGATTTGGCTGGTTGTGACCTTCTGTGTGCACCACACTCTGTTGTATGAGGAAGCTTTGCTGGTGAGAGTTGAGGGATATATTAGTACTCTACTCCCTGTTCCACAATGTTCCATGAGCCTTAGGTGTAGAGGTTCCACTGTAGATGTGTCACTGAGGACTGGGCATCTCTCAGACATATATTCTCTGTGTGTGGCCAGTTGTGGAGCTCTGTAATAGTCTCCATCTGTTGCAAAAAAGAAGCTTCTTTGATGAGTGTTGTTCAGTATACTTATATATACCCACCCAATATTCACATGGCAAGTTAACAGCTCTGGTTTCAGGGCATCCAATGTCCTCTCTAGCCTCAGTGGGCTTTGCACATATGTAGTGCTCTTACATACAATAAAGGCAAAACACTAACATACATAAAAATAAAAATAAATAAGTTTTTTTTTTTTTTAAAAAGATCACACTGCAGCTGAATGCGGGGAAACTTGTTATGGATCCCAAGACTACTGAGAAAAGACCACCAGACTCAATTCAGATCGGGATAAAAGATTTTATTCAAGCTAGCTTGGACGGCAGTCTCCGCATTGGATTAGAGTGCTGCAGTGGGGATGGAGAGGGAAAGGGGACCTTTTAAAGCCAAAAACCGCAAAAAGGAATGTTGACAAGGTGGTCCCCGAATAACAGGGTGGAGGGTGATCTCAGTCCACATGTCAAGGTGCTCTGAAATAGCAAAGCAAGCAAGTTACAGAAGCCAGAATCAGCAGTTAGTCATATCATAATAATTCTGTTTTCTATATGTCTAGAGAGCAAGTGACTGTGGCAGCGTTCTCCTGGGAGGTAAGGGAGACAGGGGTCAGGGTTTCTGAAAACAATCGAGCTAGAAATACACTATGGCTGAGCTTCTAAGATGGCTGCTTTATCCAAGATGGGGTCAGTTTGGTCAGTACAAACTAAAGTGCTCTAGTTTGCTTTCTATTGCTGTGATAAAACACTGACCAAAATCAACTTGGGGAGAGAATGGTTTATGTCAGCTTAAGGTACAGTCCTTCACTGTGGAAAGCCAGGGCAGGAGCTCAAGCAGGAACCAGAAGGCAGGAACTAAAGCAGAGACTCACTAAAAGGTTTCCAGTTAGGAAAGACTGAGAGCTACACTGCTTGAAAACACAGGGCCAAGTTCTTTACTCCGCATTCAAATTTCGGCTTACTGACTTGCTCCCTCTGGCC